CCACGGGGAGCGGCTGCAGGGCGACGCAGCCCGGCTGCACATCACCGAGCTGCAGGACCGCGACGCCGGCGAGTACGAGTGCCACACGCCCACCACCGACGAGAGGTACTTTGGGAGCTACAGCGCCAAGATGACCCTCATGGGTAAGCTTCACGGCGTGGCCTGCCATTGAGGCCTTGAGGAGTTGGGTTTCTCCAATTGCTCTAATTTTGTTCTCCTGTGCTCCAGGAGAGAGCAGACAGCATAATGAGGTAAATTACAGGGAACAGCGGTATAACGACATAGGAGAAATCGAGCTTTCCCTAGTAATAAGACTCTCGTAAAGAAGTGAAAGCAAGCAGCATAGCTAGCAGAAAGGGACGTCTAAAACCGTGGCTGAAAGCAGGATGGGCACAGGATTGATTTATGCAGAGGGACAGAGGTAGGGAGGCTGCTCCAGACAGCAGGAACTACAGAGGAGAGACTTTCGTGCCCAAGGTGGCAAATAGCGCAGCAGCAGAGAGAGGAGCAGTAACGAATTGTGTGTAGAGGGAATTGGAGAGAGAGTCTTCCTGAAGCTCGAAAGAGATGTGTGTGCCTGTTTCAGGACTCGTTCTGGCACTGCCCTCGAGTTGAGCTGTTTGTGGATGAACCTGGAGGGAGGTTTTGGTTGTTTTTTCTTTTTCTGTTACAAAAATCCAAAACAGATGCTGTAAAACCTAGAGTATTTCCATGGCCTCTCTTTGACTAGATTCTTTGACGTTTTCAGGCTTCACCTTGTTTTTTATGTCTCAAAACTGAATTGGATTTAAGGGTCTAGTGCAGCTAAGAGCAGTCAAACAGCTCCGTCCAACTTTTTGACTAAAGGGCTCCAAAAGGTGTTCCACGATGCCTGTATACCAAATTTAAGCCCACAGATGGTTGGCTTGCTTTTCTTAGCTGCATCTTATAGGGGCCTCAGAAGCGGTTCGTGAATCCCCAGGAGTCTGTGGGCCTTTGGTTTGTCAGCTACTTCAGCGTTATCCAGACTTACTCCTCCGAGAGACTGGGGTGTTGCAGGTTAAAGCCCTGTTGACACAGGAAACCCATTGTGAAGCAAGCCGAGGTGTGAATTTAATTCACAACAGCCCTCCTTTGTTTTGCGCTCCCTCCTCCCAGCTCACCACCTTTTTGTGCTTTGGCTTGCTTGCTTTTGGAAGTGTCAACATGGGCGGCTGTTGCAGAATGACTGCAACTGTTTCTCAGGGTGGAGAAGCCCTGGGGAGGACTGGAGTCGGAACAGTTATTTAGAGGCCTGCTTTCCCATTTAATTTCGCTGAGCAGCTTCCTGAGTAAAAGAGGTAGATGCCTAATGTTTTAGAGGGGATGGGGGTGGGGTGGAATTATGTGATTTGTTTCAGGTGCCTAGAGGTGTGGTTCCCTGTTCAGTTTAAAGTAATCTGAGTCAGCGGTAAGCCACTTTACAGACTTGTTGAAAACGAACACCACAGAAAAAAGGGCTGTGGGTGAGGGTGGGGTTGTGGCAGTCCAGGTTTGTGACCCGGTTAACCTGGCAGGGAGCTGCACCCCATGACTCGCTGTCATGCTGGAAGCCAGCCTCCAAACCGCAGTCCTTACAGGAAAATAGCTGAACAGTTGAGAATAACTCTGGAATCGCCCAAGTTGAGCAATGCCCGATGACTGAATGGCCCACTGGTGTGCTTTGTGGGGCGCAGTGCGTGGTGGAGCTCACCTGAAGGGGATCTGGGGGCTAGGTGGCATGCTGAAGAGGAGTGGCGGGGAACGGACATGCTCCTCCCCTGTTTTTTCCCCTGCCAGGGTGGGGTGCTGGGTGAGATGCTTCTGGTCTGTCCTGCCCTTGCCACTAGTATGATGCACATGCGACCTGGGGCTCGGCACCACAGACATCCGTGGACAGTGCTTTCAGGACATACGCTTCAGGGCTTACGTGTGTCAGAGATGCTCAAGGAAAATGATCTAAAATAACTTCTAGTGGATTAGTTAAAATGCATTAAGCCCCTTCATGGATGCTCCCGCTCGGAATTTGTGGCCCTAATTTGGTTTAGTTTAATTCATTTCCGAAAATTCACTGTGGAAGGGAATTAAGGCCACTTGACTTTTGAATGTGTGCATCTATGTAGGTGTTTGCTGTGGTCTAACTAAACTCAGAGGCAAACTGAATTTTCTAGAATGCCCCCTGTGATGACCTGTAACCAACAAGCTCTTCCAAAGCCCTCCGCTTTCTAGAAGTGTTCCCCTCGGACAGCCCCGTAGGGGAGCCTCTCCAGCCTACGCCGGCATGGCTGCGCCGCCTCACCAGCCTTGCTCCTCACCGTACTTCTGGCAGTGTGGATGTGGGTTAATTAGCTCGGCTGCTGCTGCTGCTACATACCGAGAATGCTTCTGAACTGGCCGGGGAGGGAAAGACTTGATTTGCCCGTTCTGTGCTTTGTAAAAGCAGCTTGTGCGCTGAGGCAGCGCTACCAAAGGCAATGTGGGGAGCCATTGCGAAGTGCTCCCACTCTATTGTAGCTTCTCACTGAGGCTGCCTGCCTGCCCATTGCAGGGCCCGGGGCACCTGTGCCATGGCCGCCCCCTTGGTCGCGCTGCTGCTGCTGCAGCCCTCCAAAGGCATGTGCAAGTGGGATTCAGAAGTGATGGCCGGATGAGCATTGTCACCGGTCAGCCGCAGTTGTCCTTGGAAAGCATCTGGCTTTGCTGCCTTAGACTGCTGGCGAAAGTTGGCGCGTGCCAGTTTTGTCAGGTGGGAAATGCTAGGGCAACCGGGCTGGTTGGGAGTGTCAGACGGTGCGTGGATGGGCAGGCAAGCCTTTTCCAGCCTCTTTTTGTTGGAAAAAGGATGTGGGCAGCTGTGCCCTTTGTCTTCATTAGTTTGAACTGGTGCTGACCTCAGTCCCATCGGGTGCAGGAGACGGAGGGAACGGGCCTTGAAGCCCTGCTGAAGTTCCTGCGTGGACTGCAAGGACTGTGAGGGAAACGCTATGCCGTGAACTGTCTGAGAGCCTGCAGGCACGGCTTGGGAACTTGGAAGAATTTTTATCGGAATCCATGATAACCCGTGAGAGACGGACGATCTAGGAATGCTTGGTCTGCCTCACAACAGCTCCCTTCTAGTCTGTTTTGGCTCTGCTGGGAGGGCTTTTACTGGCCCGAGTGAGTAAAAATCCCTTCCCCTCCACCCACCAGGTTACAGCGAGAGAGACTCCTGCCCTCCAGCCAAGGTGGTGTCTCTGCAGGGCTGGGGAGAGCACACCCCGATTTTCTCCATCGATTTAGCTCTCAGTTACAGGTAATAGGTTTCCAGACCTGCTTCATTGCAGCATATGGCATTGAAGAAGAGCTACGTGAGCGCTAAATGAGAGTTATTGTTCTCATTTTTTCAGAATCAGAACCAAACTTTTTTTTTCTTTCATTCAGTTATGAATTTTTAATTGACTCATTAGATTGAGTGGCTCTTTTTTGGCAGGAGAAAAGCCTGGAGGGAGACAGGTTTTTTAGCATCTCTGTTCTCTCCGTTTATGTGTGCAATGGATGGCTTTGGAGCAGTGTTGATTTTCAAGTTGCTGTTCTGGGAGCTTTTGAACTGTTGTGTCGCTGCGGTTTGAGGGAGGAGCTGAAGGAAATTGT